TGTTTAATTAAACTTCTTAACTCTTTCTTAGGAACCAATGTCAAAAAAACTAAAACTAATTAGTATAAGAGGTCCACAGGAAAAAAACAAAAACAACAGCAAATAGATCACAGATTTTACCTGTCACATTATAAGAAATAAACATATATAAATATTTGGAGGAAAAAACTCTCTCTCTCTCCCTCTCTCTCTCTCTCTCTCTCTCTCTCTCTCTCTCTCTCTCTCTCTCTCTCTCTCTCTCTCTCTCTCTCTTTCTCTCTCTCTCTCTATCAGTTAATGGCAACAGTTAATGGCAATGCATGATGCAAACCTACAGTTAACGGTAGACGGAAGTACAAACAGCGAACGAGACCCGCCCGTGCGCCGCCGACGTCATGTCAGAATCGCGCCGCGTGCCATCGCTGCTGATATCGCTGCCAGTTAGTCTTATCTCTGTGAATGCTGAAGTGATAACATCAAGGAAGAAGTTTTAGTCGTGTAGCTAAAAGAGAAGACAAGAAAATTATAAGATAAGAGAGAAGGGAAATACTGCAGTGGCGTCCCGAAATCGCCTCGTTCAAAAGGCTCTGCCAGTCAGCCTCCACCTCTCCCGCATTCAGTACACGTTTTATTTCCGATTTTCTTTTTTTCTTCTTCTTCTTCTGATCTTACCTGTTCTCAGACTCGCTCCCGTGAACTTCGTCGGGAGAGTCGAGATCGATGCAGCTTCTGCCAGACCTCCATCATCTGCCCGGTCGATATTAAGCGAGTCCGTGACATTTATGAAAGTTTCAAGCCCTTGCATTCCAGAGGCGCGAGTAACGACGCGGGCTTACGATGCCCTTGGCCTAGACGGAGGAGGTTCTCCGGCGCGACCTCCTTCGACTCCGACCGACACTGTGCCGCGGAAGATGCTACGCAATGAATGATCTATAAAAACAGATAAAACAAAACAATTCAATATAAGAAAAAGAAGTTAAAAAAAAAACGCTCACAGAGTATTAATCTTTTTTGAATAATAAATGAAGTTCCATTTCTAATCACGAAGCGCAACGGAAACTTTTTAAAACCGCTACGCAAGACCAGTGTCCAGTGGCGACGCCAGAGGGCACGTTAGCCGACGGCATTGGCGAAAGGGAAAGTTGAATGACATGCCGACTTCCCCGAGGAATAACAGGAGTTTCACTGCTTTACTAGGATATCAAGTTTATTTCTCTGCGAGGAGAGGAGGTGAATGAACCGAAGAGAATAATTATCGAAGGGTTAAAGAAAAAAAAGGAAGGGAATACGAGAGACGAGGAGAAGGCATCCAGAGACGGCTCGGGGAAACGTCGGGTTCTGCCGGGAATAAATGTGCGGAGTTTTTTTTTCTTTTTTCGCGACCGCACGCAGTTTGATATTCAGCACGATAACCGTAGTGGCATGGATGATGAAACACTGCACACTGGCACGAATGTTTATACACGCACTATGAGACGGACTGCCAAGGCAATCAAACACGCAGACGGACGGACAGAGAGAGAGAGAGAGAGAGAGAGAGAGAGAGAGAGAGAGAGAGAGAGAGAGAGAGAGAGAGAGAGAGAGAGAGAGAGAGAGAGAGAGAGAGAGAGAGAGAGAGAGAGAGAGAGAGAGAGGGGTGGGGAGAGAGAGAATGGTGGGGGTAGGAAGAGGGAGAAGGAAAAGGAAACAGAGAGACAGAGGGAAAAGGAAAGAGAAAAGAAGAGACAGAGACAAAGTCAAGACAAGACAAGACAGAGTGAGAGACAAAGAAAGGAAAAAACAAAAACAAAACAAGATAAAGAGAATTGAGAAAAAAAGGAATAAAACATCAATTATCGACGCATTACCCATTCTCACCGATACTCCTCCGCTTCACCCAGATATAGTGTAAACAAAAGAACGCCACACTCACGCATATCAACACTTCTTTTGTTACCGTTGCAACAAAGGGCGAAGCAGAGCGGGAAGAGAGCGGCGCGGTTTTGCGTTACTTAAGGCACACGTTTCAACCCCCCCCCTCCCTCCCTCCCTCTCTTACATACACCCCCTCCCTCTCTTACATACTCCCCCTCCCTCTCTTACACACGCCCCCTCCCTATCATATTCCCCTCCTCTCCCTCCCTCACATCCATAGTCTTCCTAAACCCCTCCCTCCCACACTCCCCCTCCCTTCTATATGTCCCCTCTTCTCTCCCACACTCTCCTTCCCCTCCCTCCCACAATCCTCTCCCCTCCCACAATCCTCTCCCCTCCCCTTCCTTCTATATGTCCTTCCTCCCCCCACCCCAATCCTTTCCACAACTCCCCCCTCCTTTCCACAACTCTCACCCCCCCTCACGATCGTCACTCTTGCGCGGCGATTAAATATTAAAACTTTACGGACTCCCAGTTCAATCGTCCATTAGCAGAATGTGTTGTTGGTGGCGACTTTGCGTGGGGAGGCACGTTTAGATCCATAGGTAAATGTGCAAACGCGCTCTCAAACATTGATAAAAATACGTCAACACACTCAGGTAAACACTGGAGCACTCACAGGCACACGCATGAACAGAAAGGCAAACAGAAACACATACACAAACAAAAGCATACACAAAAAATAAACCCGCACATACACAAACAAACAAACAGACCCAAACATACACGCACACAGAAACAAACAAACAGAACCAAACATACACGAAAACAAACAAACCAAACCAAACACACAAACACACAAAGACAAACAAACAAACCCAAACACACATAAACACACGCTCCAAACCTATAATCACAAACACCTACAAACCTATTATCAACAGACTCTCCACGATCTATCGGCAAACAGTTTCTCAAAGCCAAGAGGGAAACTCCCGACTCCCGACGCCATGATAATTGAACACGAGAGCATCCGTCACGTGATACAAGAGAAGGCCGATGGATGGTAAGATCTCGCAGGCTTTGTGGCTCAGCATCACGGTTTTTTTTTTCCAAGGCGTTGCTTAGTATCCGTTTGGGAAATAAAGGGGAAGGTCTTGTTAAAGTTAAAGTTATTAAAAGGAAATATCGTCGAAGGGGTTATGTTAAAGTTATTAAGGGGGATATCGTTAACATGAAAATGTGAAAAAAACAAGCATAATAATTATTTTTGTTGCGAAATTTAAAGAAAATACATGTCGTCGATGAGGCTGAGGAAATGAAATTGCAATATATCTATTGCGAAATGCTTAGCGGAGTATTCCAGATGTCCTCAGCCTCAATAAGTCATAAAAAAGGCATAAAAAGTGTTCTAGAAGGCATTGCACCTGGGGTTCATTACAGCATTTGCGAAATGCATAAAATGATATTTCAGAAGTCATTAAAAAAAATATATATTTTTAAAAATGTTGTTTTAGACAATTATAGAGAGCTATGTTTGTGAGCAATATAGTATAAAAAATCGAAGAAAATAAGGATAGTCTTAGTTCTAGTTTGATAATAATTGTAAAAAGAAGAAATGCTGGCTTATGCAAGCGGCTAACGTGAATGCGACAGAGATAAGCAAAGATAAGACCGAAGAGTCAAAATAAAGATGTTCTGATAGAAGAATTCGGTTATACTTTTTTTCTTCTTCTAAATTATATTATATTTGAAATGTGTGTGCGTGCATGTGCGTTTTCTACGACCCTCCAGACATGAACTTCCTATTACGACCGTCCCATTACAAACCTTCCTATTACGACCGTTCCATTACGGACGCAGTTACCGCTTTGCCGCGCTTGTTTTCCCACACTGAGCTTCATGGGCATTTTCTTAAGACGCCACGCTTAACGACGGCGCCGAGGCACTAACGAGCGGTCAATGGGCGAGGCGGGGGGGGGGGGGGGAGTTGTAGGCGGGGGGGGTGTAGGTGGGAAGGGGGGGCAGGGGATGGGTTGAGGGGTGGGGGGTGTAGGTGGGAGGGGGGCAGGGTATAGGGTTGAGGGGTGGGGGTAGAGTATACCCTTTATTAAGTAGGTTTGGGTAGCTTAGAGGGTAATGTCAATAGGTAAAAGGTGGATAAATAGTCTTTATTGCGTGGGTTTGGGTAAGGGAGAGGAGGGGAGGGGAGGGGAGGGGAGGAGAAGGGAGAGTAGACAGAAGGGAGGAGGAGGAGGAAGGGGAGTGGAGGGTGGGAGGA